GACCTACTACAGAAAATAATTTTACAGATAGGTGATACAGGATGGCCAGAACTCTGCAGCGGGACTCAGGGGAAGCATGGCCTGTGGCCGGTTCCTGTTGCATCTAATCAAGGATTGGTAACTGTTTGCAGATTTACCCTAACTCAGTTTTGCTGAGCATTGTGACAGCGTCATTTCCTGAGAGGTTACTTACCCAATAGCCTGAACCATTCTGCAACAAAAGTGGAGGAGCTCTTTCCTTTCTCATCTCACCTGTATGTCAAGGCAAAGGCAGTGTAGACAGGAGGATGAGCCCTGAGGCAGGCATCCTGGCTTCCAGTGCACACTCGGGCTTTCCCATAAAGTCATGGAGGGCCCTGCCTGTGTCTTCGCCTGTAAGAGGATGGGGTTGTCCCACCCCTGGCTCACTGTGAGGATGGATGGCTCAACACACGCACAGCTCAACACACGCACAGGGGCTGCTTCCACGCAGGTGCTCAGATGGCGAGATGATTGCCAGTCAGATGATCATAATCATACCACCATCACGTTCAGTCTTGCAGTTAGGGCCTTGGTTTCCTTTTCATTACAAACAGGGAGTTAAGCTAAACATTCTGAACAGCTTTCCGCCTTCTGACATTCGACTTAGGTGCTGAGCGATGGTAGCTGTTTCAAGTGTGGGTGGTCCACCCTGGAACAGCCATGACCTTGGGACTGTCATTTTGTCCATTAGAGGGCACTGGTGTACTGAGGAATGAGCCCACACCACACCCTCTAAACAGAGAGGAAGGTGGTGGTGGTCTCCAGCTTTGCTCTTCTGCTTCTGTGCAGAGTAGCCATGGGAAGGGATCAGCTTTTGTCTTTCTCATCTGGAAGGGAAGCAGCAAGCCCCAGGCCAACCTTATTGTCAGTGGAGTTGAGGCCACAGAGTAAATAGATGACAGCACTGTCTGGGAAGGGGACTGAGGTACAGCTGGCTGGACTGGATACATAAAGGCCTGTAATTTGCTTATCTTTGTATGTTTTAAATAGAAAGATTTCACAAGCGTGTCTTTAAAATGTTACTTAGACCAGGTATATTGACTCAGGATCACTTGATAATCTGAGTAATCTACCCATACTTAGAATCAACAGCCTCATGGGGAGTTTGGTTTTGAATATTAGCTGGGTTTCATAGCTGTCTGCAATTATTTTAATAAAGTGGAAATTATTGTTGGAATTTATACATATTCCTTTGAATTATTTTCATGTTTATTGGAAATACAATTTCACCTGGTATTTATATTTCTGTCCAAAGAAATCACTGATAAAAGAAAAATGCCCATTATAATCCTAAGTGGTTGGTTTATAGCAGCTTTTATTTCCAACTTAAAACTTCCTAAAATACTTGGAAACAGATTTCTTTCTTTTTTATATTTTTGTTGTTGTTATTGAGACGGAGTTTCGCTCTTGTCGCCCAGGCTGGAGTGCAATGGCACGATCTCGGCTCACTGCAACCTCTGCCTCTCAGGTTCAAGCGATTCTCCTGCCTCAGCCTCCCAAGTAACTGGGATTACAGGTGCGCACCACCACGCCCGGCTAATTTTGTATTTTTAGTAGAGACAGGGTTTCACCATGTTGGCCAGGCTGATCTCAAACTCCTGACCTCAGATGATCTGCCCACCTCGGCCTCCCAAAGTGCTGAGATTACAGGTGTGAGCCACTGTGCCTGGCCAAAAACAAATTTCTATTAATTTTAAAATACTGTATTTTGCTTCCTCTAGCCCTTTCTACCAAATAATGTTTATCTTTTATTTTTTGAAATTGTGCCCTTGTTTCACGTCTCTGTGGACTTTCCAGTAATCATCAGGTTTGCTGCTTACTGGTGACTTAATTTTTCTCTTTACGTAAGTTGAGTAATATACAGAATATACTATATAGTTTTTAAAAAGTCTCCTTAGCCCTCCTGTAGATCTTACAGGCAGGTGAACTGTAGCAGAGGTGTCACTTCTGTACCTCTACATTCTTTTCAAGCTAGAAATATTTGATACTTCTCTTTTGCATGGTTTGGCCTCATGCCCAGAAGCACATTCCATTAAATGTATCCATTCCCAAGGCTGAGAGGTCCAGAAGTTGTCCTTGAGACATTTCTTTAGCAGTGGAATGGACCTGTGTTTTATAATATAATAGACTGTGGGACGAACAACTCAGCAGCTCTTTGTCTGCCTCGAAATCAGGTGGCGAGTGTAGCAATGCCTTATAGGACTCTTTTTTTAATCCCAAGAAAAAAAAATGTACTAAATACATGAGTTAAAATGATATACTCAATACACTAGTTAAAGTAATGCGCTCAATCCACGAGTTAAAGTGCGCCCTGGTACACTAGTTAAAACAATGCGCTCAATACATGAGTTAAAGTAATGTGCACTCAATACGTTAAAACAATGCGCTAGTTAAAACAATGCACTAATTAAAACAATGAGCTCAATATGCTGATTAAAACAATGTGCTCAATACACTAGTTAAAACAATGCACTCAATACACTAGTTAATGCGCTCAATACACAAGTTAAAACAATGAACTGAATACACGAGTTAAAGTAATGCACACTCAATGGGCTAGTTAAAACAATGCACCCATTGTGCTAGTTAAAACAATGTGTGCAATACACTAGTTAATGGCTCAATACACAGGTTAAAACAATGAGCTGAATACACGAGTTAAAGTGATGCACCCTCAATGCGCTAGTTAAAACAATGCACCCATTGTGCTAGTTAAAACAGTGTGCTCAATATACTAGTTAATGCGCTCAATACATGAGGTAAAACAACGAGCTGAATACACAAGTTAAAACAATGCACTCAATACTCTAGTTAAAATAATGTGCTAAATACATTAGTTAAGATGGAATATGTGCAGCCTGTGCCATCAGGAGCTTGAAATGAGATGGAAGCTTGCCATGAGTTCTGGCTATAGGCAGGGATGCCGTTTGCCACACTGGCATTAAGATGTTTGACATAGAGGTCATCGAATGCTCACCGCTACCCGTCATTATCACCACTGGGCAGGTAAGGAACCTGAAGCTGAGAAGGAATAAGGAACTTGCCCAAGAGCACACAGCTAAATTCTGTGTCTCTGTACAGGGGGGCTGGAAATGAGACCAGACTCTGCCTCCACCCCCACCCCACGCCTCCCACACTTCTGATCTCAGTGCCTGCCAGTTCTACAAGGGTCTGTACAGAGGACCTCGAGAGGTTTGTTAAGGTCTGCAGTTTACCTGTAATACTAACTTTGCTAGACCTTGAGCAGAAAGAACCCTCTGCCAGGCCCTTAGGTGTGAAGGTCAGTGGTTTGGAGCAATGAAGAACATGTCAGGCTCTGATCCTCACCAGCTGCTGCTTTTTTTTCCCTCTATATCTATGAACATGGCTGATCTCTCCACAGTACAGTTGATCAAGGGCAGGGAACCACAAGCTAAGCCCCCTTTATTTTGCCACTAGCAGAGCCTTGGCTGGTTGGCTTCCCAGATTGCCCTCTAGACCACTGTCTTTGCTGCGTGTGCCCATTTGTTCTTTAGTCCAAGGTGATTTCGATCTGCATCGTCTGAATCTTTGTGTCCTGCCAAATTCATGTTGAAATATACTCCAGAAGAGTTGGGGCTTCCGGACATTAGTGCCCTTATGAAAGAAGCCTGAGAGAGCTCGTTTGCCCCTTCCTCCATGTGAGGACACACAGAAGGTGCCTTCAGTGAGGAACAAACCCTCACCAGTCACTGAGTCTCCTGGCTCCTTGATCGTGGACTTCATAGTCTCCAGACTATGAAACCCTACATTTCTGTTGTTTATAAATTACTCAGTCTGAGGTATTTTGTTAGAGCAGACTGAATGGACAAAGACAGCACCAGAGTTACAACATGCAAAGTATGAGTGAGCCTTCACTACCATTGCTGTGTATTAACAGATATGTTTCAATATTTAAAGTTTTTAGTTTTTAGCTAAAGACATCACTGACTTAGTTTTTTGCTAGTTATCTCCTATCCATCAAAGAGGACAAAGTGGGCATTTGATGTAGCGTAAATACAGTTGTTCCTCAGTGTCTGTATGACTGCCCACAGATACCAAAATCTCTGCATGCCTAAGTCCTGCATTTGGCCCTCTGTATGTGTGGGCTTCACATTCTGCAAATACTGTAGTTTCAGTCCACATTTGGTTGTAGATGCAGAACCTTTCTGTACAGAAAGCTGACTGTACTTATTTTTTAAAACCACATAAAAGTGGACCTGTGTATTTCCAACCCGTAATGTTCACGGCTCAACTCTTGTTTGTTAGATATTGTCAGCGTTTTGTGACTTAAGTATGAGACCCAATGAACTACTCATTTCCATCTACGAACTTTAAAACATTAGATTGTACTGCTTTGCTTTTACTTTTTCTTTAGTGTGGTGGATTTCACCTAGCAAGAACTTTCAAGTAATTAAATTCATGAAATGCTTAGCTTTTGCAGCATTTTAAAGAATAAATTATCCAAGCTCAAGACTGAAGCATGTAAGCATTAGGTTTTACTGTGTTTTGAGTCTTCTAAAGAAGAGATGGAAAAAAAATGACTCTAGTTAAACTTGAATTGCCTTAGTAGTGTAGCTTTAAGCCTTGTAAAATTGCTAAGTTAAATTGGCCCTGTGTGACTTCCTAATCGCTGTCTTATACAAAACGCAGTCAGTTTGGTGGCTCAGTGGTGCATAGATAAGTTGAGATTTAATTTAATCATTTTGCATGCAACGTTTATACATAGAAAGATTTACACTTTTAATGTAAGAGATGATTAAAGTCCTGGTGGGAAAGCTGATGTAATTATCAGCTTGTAATTATCAAGTGTGTTAAATAAGTATCCATTTACTTTTTCCCATTTTTTTTTTTTTTCCTCTCATTTGCTTCTTGTTTCTTACAGAGCTTTGACAACAGAAGGGGTCTTCATTGGACAACCTTAAACATTGAACATGGCAGGACATTGTTTTCATGGCATTTGTACCTGTATTTCATTGTAGGTGCTAGACTGGATCGAGAACCACGGAGAAGCATTTCTGAGCAAACATACAGGTGTGGGGAAATCTCTTCATCGAGCCAGAGCATTGCAGAAACGTCATGAAGATTTTGAAGAAGTGGCACAGGTACAACAACGGCTTCCATTATTTTATCCCGTAAATACCCGTGCGGTTGATTTTGGATTACAGTTTTAACCACATTTGAGATAAGTTAGCATTAGCGCGATGCGTTTGACACCTCAGATGAGGTCAATGCTCCGATTTCAGAGTGAAATTGTCATTGCCTTGGCAGAAACATGATTTGGTCAGTTGACGCTTTCTAAAATGTGATGTTCTTGGAACAGTAATGTGGCTTGGGTGTTTTTGTCTTGTTTATTATACCAGTGTCTTTTGACTACTTCATGAAATTCTAATTTATAGTCAGGAAATAACAGTTCCTTTTGTGTTTCTGTAATAGTAGCCTAAGCCTTACTTGTCCTGTTTGCATTGCTTTAAGTGTGTGTGCTTAGGAAACAGGAGCCGAGAGTCCAGTGTGTTCCGAATGTGGGTTTTGTGGGGTTTGAGCACTGGCCGTGTGACTTTGGACGAGTCGCTTAACCTTTCTACGGGTAACTTTCTGATCTGAAAAATAGACCCAGTAATTTATTAAAAAGATTTTTCTTATAGTCAACTTCTTTAAACTAGTGAGTTGTGGCTTGATGAAGTAACACAGCAGAGATTCACAAAGGAAGTGGTGAAATGTTACAGTTGAATTCTTTAAAAAATGTCCTAAATGTAGATTTATTATATGGAAGAATTCTGGTGTTCTGAGAAGGAGGAACCCAGAATTTGAACCTCATGTTTACGTGGTGGAAGCGAGTCATACAGTGTAACTTCTGCAGACACAAGACCTAGCTGCAGGGGCCCTGGGCTTCAGAGTCTGTTTTAGACACGGCTGCAGTCACCTCAGGAAGCTCTTGGATCCATTTTGCATGCAGTTTTGCAGAGTCAAGAACTTCCTCGTGACTAATTTGAAGGTCCATTCCTTAATTTTGTACAGTGATTGTGAGTAGCTCTATCCTGTTGAATGAATCCATGCTAATTGATGTGTATGTGTGGTGAGAAGCGCCATCGTGCATTTCCATAGGCTAGTGTAAAAAAAGAAATAAACAATACTTTTCATGCGAAGCTTTTTGCAAATGACTGTCAGAAAAGGAAGATACTCTTTCATGTTAATATTCCTTTTTTAGATTTAAAAAGTTATGATTAAAACAGCCAGTAAAGCCCAGAAAACTCAGGTTCAAGGAAGCATCTGGTGTTGAGAGCACAGAAGATTTCTTTACTATCCTTCGTAAATCTTTGGCATGGCGTCCTTCCTAAGTACCTGACCTGTGGGTTCCTAAACCACCCTCGCTCTTTTCTGCTTATCCCCCTAGATTCCAGTTACCTTCCAGAGAGGTAACCTGTCGCAAACTTATTATCCAGGAAGCCATTTCTGTCAACGGCTTTTCGTATGTGCCGCGTAATTATCTTGTCTTCCTGGATGAAAGAGTGGGTCATTTAGGAAAGCAGGAGACCTTGTGTTCATTCTCGATTTTTAGAAGAAAAGCAAACCAGTGACTCCCTGGTCATTACTTAACTCATTCATCTTTTGAAAGGAGGATAACTGCCTCCATAACACGTGGACATACAGAATGTCCCCACATGTGTAGCAGGCTCTAAATTCTGATTCATGACAGCTGTTAGAGCATGCATATGTACAAAATAGGCTGTTGTTTTGCAGTAAGTTCGGTTTCTAATATAAGATGTATTGTTTCTAATCTTTCAAAATAAATGACTAGTGGAGAATTCAGGGTGAATTATTTGCTATCAAGCATTTGCTTTAGATTGGTGATATTTACAGGGTACTAAATCTTCTCATCTGCTTATTTTTCCTTATTAAAAATACTTCTAAAATTTACCAATATGATTCCACTGCTTTCTGATTGCAAGACAGTGGAAAACTTCATCTCTTGGAGCCTTGGTTTTCCTCGCTGTAAAGTGATGCCTGACACCTACCTTCACCGAGTTGCTGTGATGAGAATGCATGTAGAAATGCCTGACGCTCAGCAGGCGCTGCTGGTGCTGTCTTTGTCCAGAACAGTACGATCATTCAGATTATTCAGATCTTTTGGTGAATACTAGCCTTGTGTTTACATTTCGGGACAAGAGCCACTAGAAGGCCAATGCGCCTGCCACTTTGCTCTTCCTGCAGTCTTCAGCTGCAGGACCAGTTCTTACTAGAGATGGCCAGAGGCTGTATTTGGAATCCAGTGGAAAATAATGAGACTTGGCTTTCCTGCAATCCTCAGCGGCACTGAAAAGCAGCACCAGAGGATGTTATATCACCCCCGGGCCACTTCACCTCGCTAAAACCCTCCCACTCCTACACCACACAGAAGTGTGTGTCTGGTCAAATGCTGAGAGACACAGACAGTTGTCTGTGTTTTGCTGTGTCTGGAGAAATCCACAGCACTTCTTGGGTCCGCTGTTAGCATTTGTGGTGCTGCTGACTCTGTCCCATGCACACGTTGCAGGGGCGGTGAGCTTGTCGCTTGGGACGCTGTGTTTTCCCTTGACGGATGAAAAGACGATCCCTGGGAATTTGTGTGCCTTTTAGGTGATAATTTAAGTTACCTGGGGCTTTGAATTTGTACTGTAGATGTACGGGCCCATCATTCTTGTCATTACATTTCTGTGTTAATAAAATACCTTGGAGGTTTTCAGTATGCAGACTTTGTTGTCTTTTAAACCAAGCAAATGTAATGAAAGTATTTAGGCCTCAAATGCTCATTTTCCTTCTTTTTCATATCTCTTCTAAGATCCCAAAATCCCTTATTTTCCATTGAATTCTAAGTACAGCCTCTGGTCATCTTCAGTGAGAAACAGCCCTGCAGCCAAGTATTGCAGGAAGAGCAAGGTCTTGTGCACATTTGCCTTCTGGTGGCTCTTTTTGTCTCCTTGAGTCCTACCAAGTTCTGAAGAAAAAGAGGACACCAGTTAGGTCCCCACCCTGGCCTGGCCTTGCCTTATTCCCTTTAATCCCCATGGCAGGGATGACCCCCACACCACGGATCAGAAAACGGGTCCAGCGTGAGATGCCTCGGGAACAGGATAGTAGGGATTGGACAGGAGAAGCCCAGTCTCTCAGACTCTCAAACGCTCTCTGACCTGATATCCTCCCCACTTTAGTCCAGTGTCTCAGTTTCTCTCCTTGTGTGAGAAACTGAGGCTTAGGTGCCGGTTGTTTTAACAATCCCAGCTCTGCCGACTGACTTGGTGGACAAGTTACTGCAACCCTCTGTGCCTCGGTTTCCTCGCCTGTGAAATGGGAATCAGGTAGTATCCATGTCCTGCCGCTTTTGTGAGGCACAGTGTTAAGTACCAAAATGGTAGCATTTCTGATGAGTATGGTTGATGTTAGCACAAGGAAATCTCTGTTCTCCGGTTGCAGAAGGACCCAGGGAAGGTCTCATTCCCAGGAAAACCTGGCTGGGGATTTCAGAGGCATGAGTGCTGACGCACGCCCCACCAGCCCTGGCGCCTTTTGTGCTGCCTCATGTTCTTCAAGCACAAGATGAAAAGGGAAATAAATGATGGCTGTTTCATGCCTCACATCATGCACTTGTTTCTTTGGGACATTTTTAAAAATATCTTTACCTGTTGGAACAGAGGTGGGAAGGCTTTCAGAAATGTAATACTTGGCTGTTGGGAGGCTCTGTCATCTTTAGATCCACTTATCAAATATGAGAAGTTCACAATTCCGAAGCTGTAGTGGTGATCGTAGGAAAACAGGATTCAGCTCTTTAGAAATGTGTGTCTATGGCACTCTGGGTTCTCTGTACAGCTTGCTACACTGTTAGCTTCATTCAGCATGGAGGCCCTGTTGTGCCCATGATAGAGATGCAGACACAGGGACTCCAAGGGGATGCTCAGCCGGGAGTAAGCAGGGATTTCCAAGTCATTTTCCCTGGAAGGAAGCCACCTGCAGGTGCGGCCTCTGATGGTCAGAGAACCTTTGTAGGCAAGAGCGCATGCAGACCCTCCACAGCAGAGCCCTTGGTGCTCACAGCTGACCACGGTCACAGGGGTGCCCACTCTTGTGCCCAGAGGCCCGGGTGCCAGCCATAGGAGGGGAGGGCCTGGATGAGGGAAGCCCTGGAAAGCAGTCAGGCATTGTTCCATAGGTGAAAGTTGTTTTTTAGATCTGTCTCCTGTGTGTGTACACATGCACATTCACATCTGTCTGTTAAAAACCATGTATTCGCACAAATAACTCCAATTCCAGCCCCATGCCAAGTTCACTCAAATTTTCTCCTTTTCTATCTTGATAACTCCCTTTTCTCAAATAGAGACACCCGGCTCCCTTTATCCCTCAGGTATTGGCTTACTTGCGTCACTCCATTCTGCTGATGGAACCAGTCTCCCAACTGGGAATCCCTCACATCCTGCTCAGACTCTCACTGATGAGGCGCCTTCCCTGTGCACCTTACGTCTCTGAGAAGGATACGGATTCACCTTGTTTCTCAAGGGAAACCAAAAGCTCACTCTCTGGGCCTTCTTAGAAGGCCTGAGCTCTGTTCCTTTCCTGCCCTCACATTCTCCAGCCTTTCCCAGGGCTCCCCTCCACCGGTGGACCCCTCTGCAGTAGCTTTCTTTAACAGCATCACGGCTCTCGCATGCCTTGCTGTTGGGGAACCCACTTACAGCCTCAGATTATGAGGAATTAAAGTGATTTCTGGAGTATTTTAGACATGTATTTACACTTTGAGCTCTTTAAAACTCTGGCTACTTTAGAGCCATTATAGTTATAATTTCCTTTTTCTCAAAACATGTGGCCAGGCAAAGTGGTTCACGCCTGTAATCCCAGTACTTCGGGAGGCCAAGGCAAGAGGATTACCTGAGCCCAGGAGTTCGAGACCAGTCTGAGCCACATTGCAAATCCCCATCTCTCCTAAAAATACAACATTTAGCTGGGCATGGTAGCGCGTGTCTGTGGTTCCAGCTACTTGGAAGGCTAAGGTGGGAGGATTGCTTGAGCCCAGGAGGTCAGGGCTACAGTGAGCTGTGATCACACCACTGTACTCCAGCCTGGGCTACAGAACGAGACTGTCATGCAAGCTGGAAAACAAAACAGAAAAATAAAAAATATATAGCCTTAAGTAGAAGGAAGTTGAGCACAGAATTACCAACAAGTAGAAATGTGTGAAAAGGGACAGCAACTTATGTTTGTTTGGAATTTAACCTTTAACTTGTACTTCGAGAATTATCATAAAGCATTGTATCATATGGAAAGACACAGGCTGGAACATCTCTGCTTGGTGATAAAACTGGAAGAAAAAGTGAAGCAGGCATTTGTTGCTGGGGGCCATCTCCTGGCTCCACCTTGGCAAAAATCTGAAAGCTCTGAGCCCCCAGACAGACAGCAATTGCCTGCAGATAGTCCATCGCTACCTTCAATACAAGGGTTTTGCCATGGGGTTCAAAGTTGAACAATCTAAAACAACCGTGGGAAAGGAATTCTGCGTAGAATTCCTGAAATCATCTCTCCCCATCATATTTTTCTATTTGATTCATGTAAGTGATCAGAAATACCACACATTGACTGTGTTGCTATGTATTACGGCGCCCAGCCTGGCCGGTTTGCTTTTCATTTACCTTCGGTTTCTCTGGGCTGTTCTCTTGTGCAGAACACATACACCAATGCAGATAAATTACTAGAAGCAGCAGAACAGCTGGCTCAGACTGGGGAATGTGACCCCGAAGAGATTTATCAGGCTGCTCATCAGCTGGAGGACCGGATTCAAGATTTCGTTCGGCGTGTTGAGCAGCGAAAGATCCTACTGGACATGTCCGTGTCCTTTCACACCCACGTGAAAGAGGTAAGGCGCGTGGAGACCAAAATATAATCTGGGTCTGAAAGAGTCTTTACCTCTTTGGGAGGAACCTGAGTTTGGTCATAATGTGAGAAAGTGGACAAAGGTGGCAAGTTGTGGGATGTAGCCCAATAATGCTGAGTGTGTCTGTGTGGACAGGGAAGAGCCGGGCTTGTGCTGGCCTTCCTTGTTGTATGAGGGCATGGCTGCCTTTGCTGGGGCTGCCCGTAAAGAGAAGACCCATGAGGGTTGGGAGAGACAGAGAATGTCCATTTCCGTAAGTAGGGGACCTGCGTGTTGTTGGTCAGAGCTGTTGGGTTTCCTTCCTGGGTGTGAACCTGTCACATGGCTACCATCATGAGTGCCTCTGGATTTTACGAGACTTCTCTCAGATGCTAGTAAACTGAGTGTTACCTAATATTGAGTTTAAATGTGCCAGAGCCAACCTGGTACAAACAATATTAAAGCTAATGTCATAGGCATGCACCTGTTAATCAGCTCATCTCATGATAAGAAATAATGTTATTTGGTGTGTGAAAAATAGCTATTAATTATACCTCGCATATAGATGTTATTCTTGGTAGAAATCATATAAAGTTACATGAAGGAAACTACTGTGTAGCTTTTGAGGAAAAAAGAATTTAAAATAAAAGTTCATATTCAGGGTGACTACAAATTGAGTAGGGATGTCAACTTATCACACCTTACTTCTGTGTAAAAAAGAAAATTCCCTGCTTCACCGAGGACCTTCACAGAGGATCATAACATATTCTGATGCAGCTCTTGATGGATGGGAAGTGAGGGACCCTTCTGGGCAGCTGGGGACTGTGCACATGGAAGCCTGTGGTCATAGGATGGGAAGAAGGATCTGGAAGAGGAGGACTACTGGGGAAAGAGGGGAGGTCGAGGCCTGGCTTGCCTCATTTCAAGGCATCAGCACTCGGAGACCCACCAGTTCCTTTAAAGGGGAACGTCTCTACCAGCTCTGAGATCTTGGGCAGTTAGTCCTCAGGCCATTTGTCGCTGGAATGTTTGAACTGCAGGTTTCCCTCTGAAACCCTGTGAAGCTGTGAAGGAGTGGAGGAGAGTACACAGCAAACTGCTGGGACCCCTGGGCTTTGCGCTCAGTCCTGCCCCAGGCTGGCAGCTGGCGCTCTTGGTCCTTTCTGCCAGGGGGCTGGTGCTTCTTGGTCCTGAGATGGTCATCAGGATAGAAACTGGCACAGCTAGCTTCTTTTCCTGCTCGTCAGAATGCCATCGCTCAAATTGCTCTTGAAAATACTTACAAAGAGGCCATTTTCTTCTGAGGAGATACATTAAGTGGACATTGTTCTGTGGCAGTTTCTAGTCATTGCTGCATGTGCCACTAGACTAAAGTTTTCCGCTTGTCTTGAACCGAGTTTGTCTCTTGCTGTCCTCCAGCCTCTGCTGGCTCCTTGCCCCAGCCTCCCTGTGGCACTGCTACCAGAGTAATTTTTCTGAAATAGAAATTTGACTAGGCCATACCCCTGCTTTTAAACTATCAGTGATTCTTCTTGTATGTGGGGAGCAGCCTGATACCTCTGCGTCCTCACAACATAGACCACGTTTTTGCTTGCAGCCTGTCTTGTGCTGTGTCCTCCTCTTCCAGGGCCCCTCCCACTCAACACAGTATCCCTGGATTCAGGACTTTCCGGCACCTTTGAGACGAGGATGGGTGTAGTTAGCTGCTCTCCCCTGCACCTTCTAGAGCTTCCTCCACATGCACCTGTTAACGGCATTTGTCATGCATGTGATTGTGTGTTACTTTACATGTTTTTACACCCTAGCTGAGAGGGAGGGAGAGGGTTAAAGTGATCTGTGTATGAAAACAGATTGTGGCATAGTTCACTAAGCCGTGACATCAACAGAACACGGGCCAGGAGCACAGCAGCCTGGATCCTTTTGAGGGCAGGGACCTGGGCAGGGGTGTCCAGTCTATAGGTTCCTCATTCAGGGCCCAGTGACCACAGTTGCCCTGGATGCCATAGATGCCATAAGGGAGAGGCAGGAAGAGTGCCAGGCAGCTGCAAGTGGCTGAGAGGCCAAATCGAGAGAAAGAAGTGGAGGGCAGAGGGCCTCGCATCTGTGGCACGTTCCAGAGCCAGGTGATTGGAACTGATATTTGTGTGGCGTGCCTGGCCATATTCTGTAGCAGCTTAGCAGTCTGAGGTAAGGATCTCGCTTCCTTATAGGACAGAAGACTCTTCCCACCAAGCAGTATTTGTGATTTAAGTCACCTTTTCAATTTGGCAGTGGTTTTCAGAAACCAGACACTGAAGGATAACTGGAAAGAAAGTGCTTTTTCAAAAGCTGTTCTCTACAAATAATTTTTTTAAAAAAATTAGCCGAGTGTGGTGGCACCTGTAGTCCCATCTTTTTGGGAGGCTGAGGCAGGAGGATCACTTGAGCTCAGAAGAAGGTTGCAATGAGCAGAGGTCACACCATTGCACTCCAGCCTGGGCGACAGAGCAAGACCCTGTCTCAAATACAGAAACAAAGCTCTTATCCAGAGGCTTCGTTTGGGTTCATTGACTTTTGTAACAGCAGCGTTTTTAAGGAAAAATCTTCTAATAAGAGCATCCACTTACAAGACCGTGGAGTCCATATTGTCACTAGGTTTGGAAATTATTTAAAAGTAAAACTACATTTTGTTTTCATTGACTTACACAATAGGAACTGCTAGTATGTATGAGTTTGTAGACTACGGAGACCTTAAATCAGTTTTAAGGACTAAGTGGTTCACTTTCACGATTGCAGGATTTTTGGTGCAGTCTATGAAAGGCCATCTTCCTAGCAGAGAAACTGGCACGTTTTCCCCGGTCTGCTCTGTCTTACTGGCGTGCACCTCACGTAACATGGGACCAAGGAGGGATTGGGGCCCAGTCAGGGAGTGCATAGCAGGACACACGTGTGCCCGTGTGATTGACATTCAGGGATGCTGCCGACAGGCTGGAATGCTGCCTGTTTCTTCCCCTCAGTGTGCCTGGACTTCATTTTTAGCCCCAGCCATTTTCTCAGTAGATTTGTCTTTCCCTGACCAGCCTGAGAATTGCCCTCAGTTCTTTCTCTGTGCTGTACGAAAGCCCTAAAACGCCCAGGAATCCTTGGTAGGTTCCATGCAGGAAAGAATGGTGTCTTCAGTCATTGTATTTTGAAGCTGGTTACTGAATGAAAACTAAGATAAGCTTAGAACAAGTTTAATTCGTTTAAAATGAAAAGCTAGATGGGCCAAGAAGAGGAAATCATGCTAATTTGCTAGGTGTTTGCATGAAGTCACTAAATGTATTTACATATCAGATGAACAAAAAATTGCTAAAAGAAACACGTTATCGGAATCTGTTCTTCTTAAGCAGATCATACAATTAAAAATTACACAGAGGAAGATAGAAAAAGTAGCTTGTCTTGGCTGGGCGCGGTGGCTCACGCCTGTAATCCCAGCACTTTGGGAGGCTGAGGCGGGTGGATCACGAGGTGAGACCATCCTGGCTAACACGGTGAAACCCCGTCTCTACTAAAAATACAAAAAAATTAGCCGGGCGTGGTGGCGGACGCCTGTAGTCCCAGCTACTCAGGAGGCTGAGGCAGGAGAATGGCGTGAACCCAGGAGGCGGAGCTGGCAGTGCGCTGAGATCATGCCATTGCACTCCAGCCTGGGCGATGGAGCAAGACTCCGTCTCAAAAAAAAAAAAAAAAAAAGTAGCTTCTCTTTTTTATTTAGGCAAATTCATGAAGCTTTTTAGAATTGCCCGCCAAAGGCTCTCCTGACAGAAGTCAGAAGTTAGTTTTCCTCACTGCCAAGTGTTCCACAGTGGCTCTCCTCTTCACTTTTATCTGGAGTATAGTTGTCACCATCTCTTTTTGCAAGAAATTCCTGGCCTTCTGATGAACAAGTAATACAAACATGAGGTCATAACAACTCACTTTAAAAAGGTACGAAGTCAAGGTGATGTTTACTGAGCGTTAGCTCAGGAATCTCTTTAAGAAACCCCTGGAAGAAGGTGGCTGCTGGAAGTCTTGTTGAAGACCAAGCTCTTAGGCTCCAAAAACTAAGACCTCTGGACTCTGATTCTTTTACCCCAGAGGACAGAATAGACACTTGTTCCTGAGAAGAGAGAAAAGGGGACACATTTTACCTAGGGGACAAATATTTTCTACCTGGAGGTAGAATGCAGTGGGTGGTTGATAGAGATTTCGGCCTCAGTTTGCCCCTGAAGCCCGGATTTGGAAGTATTCCAGAACGCTGTTTTCTCTAAAAGGAATCTGGAGGTTCGTAGCCTCCTTTCAGAATGCTTGTAGCCTGATGCTTTGTTCTGTTTCTGTTTTGTTGTTTAAGTATTTGAAAGGAATGCTGATTGGCCTGACGTAAGTTTTGGTTTGATTTGGGGAGGATCTTTCTCCTCCTACACGTTGTGGTCCACTCTCAGTCCGCCTGCAGTATGCATTCCCTTCAGTCCTGTGTATGGCATTTATTCACGTCAGTTCGGTTGATAGTGCTCCTGCTGTGTGTCCTTTGTTGTTTGTTCTCCTTTCCTTTTGAATGCATTTTTCCCTGTTTATTTGTTCATTCACTCTTTTCACTCACTCATTCATTCCAAAGTGTCTCTCAAGGCAATGGTAATATGCAAGGAGGTGATACCTAAATGAATGACCAAAAGAACATGCTTCTGCTTTTGTGTGTCTCCTACATTTTAGACTTTAAGTTCCTTGAAGCCCAGGACCATGTCTCACTTACCTTTGTGTTTCCACTAACTAGTCTGTCTCCTGGAATTGGCAGATACTCAGTGAAAGCCTGTGAAATAAGTGATGTCTATTTCTAGCACATTATTCTGAGATTTAATGATAGATTTAGTGATTGAATGAGATTTCCATTTTCAAATACAGCAAAAGCATAACTATTTTCATTCATTCCTATTCATTCAACTTCATTCTCAAAATTGGGTCCTGAGTTAACTGATAATTACCTTGAAATGTGTGGGTTATTTGAG